AGAGAACGATATTGCAAGGTTGGATACCTCGGAATTAGCAAAATAGATAGGAAGAGAAATGATATATATATATAAAGGGGAAAAAATTTAACTGTCATAAATTCTGAAAAAGAATTGGACAAATGCCAGTGTTATAAAGAAAGCGCAGTAATGAATAAACTTCTTGCAAACTTTACAAGATCTGGTCGATTAGAAAAATGTTTCTGTCAATTTGATGTATCGTTAAGGAACGTAAAGGATATCTTTTATCACCAGACAACAAATACCTCTTCTCTACTTGCCTCCCCTTCTCTCCCTCTCCATTCTAATCACTTCGTATGTTAAGACATTTCTCAACAATCTAGCGAGAGGGTGGGAAAAAAATTCCCTAAGTAAGAATATCAAGGAGACGAAGGGAAGACAATTAGAAAGGCAAACTTTATTGAAGGAGTCGATAAAAGTGTCGTTAATGTATCCCAGATATAAAAGAAATATCTAGAACAAATAGATTTAGAAGTATTGAATAAGACATTATCGTAAAATGACGTCTTAATCGCTTGATACGACTAGAAAGATAGTAACCAGAAACGCTTACAGCTTAAGTCACGTCTACAAAAGTAGAAAGTATAGTTGAAAAGATACAGATAAAAGAACAGAGTTCTTCTCCTGTTTAGTGTGTAGCATACCTTAAAAACTTATAGACTATATATATATAAGGAGAAATGTTAAGTATGGCCAATTCGGAAATATTACAGATATTGAGAAACAATATACAATACCATTTGGGATTGTTTGTATTTGAAATGCAACAGAAAAGTATTACCGTTGCTTCGAAGTATACTCACGGAAGATTCGATGAAACGTATGGCTTTATATTCCTAATATTTTTTAAAAAGATATTTGAAACCATAAAAAAATAATACAATTTTTTAAAACACTTTTCAATTTTATACCGATGTACAGTACAGTAGTTTGTTTATTTTTTAACTTCTGTGGGCAGTAAGTGGGTGGTTTTTTTTTTCAGTGCCCCTCGTGGATTCGGCTAAGCCCACAAGAGGGTGAATGGGTGGTGTGGGATAGGGCACCATATTCGGAAAAATTATTGGAGATCCCGAGTGCCCTAGAACAGTAGGGTGACGTTTTAACAGATGTTCCGGAAATTTATTATAGTATTTTAGGAATATGTTTTCAGTTCTGTAAATTCTAAAATGTTTTCTAAATATGAACATTTACTCTTTTAAAAAAGATTCGTAGGCCTAATCAATTCAAAATTTCATAAAGCTTTCATATCTTTCTCTAAAAATTTGATTGATTTATCAACTCGAGATGCCACTACACTATGGCACAATTGTGTTACATAAGTTTAATTACTGGTAATTTTGACTTGCAATGGGCTCTTCTACCGTGAATGAGGAATGGAGAATGGTTCCTGACTTTTACTACACATGATAAAGTGAGGGTTGAATCCCTAGATCGGAATTCGAATCCGGAACCCTCGCGCAATAGGCTAGCATGCTAATAAGCATGCTAGCCTATTGCGCGAGGGCTCCATTTAACCGATTTTTAAAAATTTTATTTGTTGACACGCATTAAACAGAAGCAAGCCAGACCTCAATGCCCAGATCTTAACAATTTATGATAAAGCTCCGAACCCGAATCTTCTGACACGTGATAAGTAACCATCCAGATGACATTTTAAAGTAATTAATGAATAAATAGTTGTATTAATATATTATTGTTACATCGTCACAATTCCTGAATGAAATATTTAATCATATTTTAATTTAAATAATCGCATGACTTCCAGTCTGGATCGGAAGTTCGTATAGTTAATGGGGCCTCCGACCCCTGAGCTTTCCATATCTAGTCTCGATTTTCATCTAACTCCGTTCTCGAGATTAATGAAAGACGGACGGACGGACGGACGACGGTGGTAATCTATAGGTCTGTAATACAAGGTAGAGGTTTATACAGTAAAACCTGTCCAAAACTGAACCTGAATAAAGCGGAAATCTGCGTAAATAGGAAAAATTCTCCGAAACGGAGCGATTTTCTATTTTACAAAAAAAAAAAACCTGCCAAACAAGAAAAAAAACCTGCCAAAGAAAAAAAAATATTCGGTATCGTGCGATTCCGGTTTACGCAGGTTTTATTGTATCCCATTTTATTCAAATTTCCAGCAAATTTCCGTAGAATAAAATTAATGCATGGCAATGTAAAAAAAAATACATTATCGGTATCTAAATCTGTTATATCTTTTAACAGAGGGAGAAAAAAGAATTAGAGGAGGTGAAAGTTAGACACGTGAATTGATCACGTGCGAATCATTCCTCGTATCCCGTTTAGTACTTTCGAGCACGAAAGTTTCGATTGGATCAATCTTTAAGAAAGATTGATCGAGTATACAATCTGGACACTTAGTATCTTATTTGTAACGTGGTTATAGCCAATAAAGAGATGGATAGTTGTAATTATGCAGCGTATAGTTGTGTGCGAACAATGATTGATAATGATATAATATTCTTGAGACACAAACGGGATAAAATTTCGATTATTTAAACAGAAAAAAAGATATATTTTGTACAAAATTGGAAATTTTATGAATAAATCTCAAAGGGAAGGAAAGGAAAAATAAGTAATTTTCTCTTTAAAATAGACTTATTTATTTGTTTTCTTCTGCGGCTTGACATTCTTAACCACCCTGGGAAATTAAACTTAAATGAAAATCATTTAAAGAATTTTTGAAAATTTCCCGTCTGGGAAATGAAATGCCAAACAATTGGCTTATAAAACTGTTATTATTATTAATTTCCGCCCTTTCTTCTTAAATTCTGATACATTTTTTTATTATTATATTTTTTCGCTCGACGTTAGAATTACTGAAAGATCTCATAAATGTCTCATTATATAAATAATAAGAGGAATTTTTGGAGTGAAATGACTCCTGTGTTTTTCTCTGTACAGTATTAAGTGATCGTAACTTCTTTAAAATTGACGTTAAATTTAAAACTGTGGAATAAATATCGCTGCTAGAGTTTGAATGTGTCGATAAATTTTATTTGTACTTTTAAATTGTAAAAAAAAAAAAAATGAAATTATATAATTTAAATTTAATGCCTCGTAAAAGCAATTTTTAATAATTATGTTTAAATTTTTAAATTGTTTAAAACACGACAAATAATAAATATAAATCACGTTACAAAATTTTAAATTTAAACCAATAAGGAGATAGTTGAAAAAAGCTAGCCAATAAATTTAAATCGTAATTTCAAATTTTTAAATTTAAACCAATAAGACGATACATTGAAAAGAATAAGCAATAAATTGACATTATAATTTAAATTTTTAAATTTAAACGAATAAAGAGATATATTGAAAAAAAAAGCAATAAATTGACATTATGATTTAAATTTTTAAATTTAAACCAATAGAAATATTGATTGAAAAAACACAAGTAGTAAGTTTAAATCAAGATTGAAATTTTGAAATTTAAACCAGTAAAGAGATAAGAGGTAAAACGATAACCAATAAACAAGCTTCTTATTTATTTATTTTTTTTTTTTACTTTTTAAAAATTTTCGAATTATCGAGAAATATAGTAGTAGTAGATTGGAAAATGATGTGTTTTCCATTACGATAAATTTATTTATTTTTTCGCGAAAAGATATGATGATATTTATTGAGTGTAAATTTCGACCATATGCTATTGGGAGGTTGAAGATTATTTGTCAAAGAAGGGATTAACAGAGAGAAATATCGATTGAATGAATCAAAAGCAAACAAATCCCGCAAAAGAGTACATAGATTGTTGTCAAAGACACAATGCTCTATAAGTAGACAAGCGAGTAACTCAATAAAACTTGTTTTATCCCAATCCAAGTTGATCTTAAAAGCTCTCGACGAATAATATTTTTCTGATCAATTTTTTAATAAATTATTTTATTAGATTAAAAAAAGTAATCAATCTAAAACTCAATTAACACCTTCGATTAAAGTAAAAAAATTTAAAAAAAAAAGCTCTTCTATTGGTCGATGATTCGATCCAATCTCATTCCTCCTCTCTTCTTTTATTAGTTAATTTAATTTTTAAAAATAATTTTTTAGAACCTAATTGGTTTATTTTTTTTAATAATATTTTTCCAATTGGTTAATTATATTTTAAATTTATTTATTTTTTTATTTACCAGATTCGTATCGATAATTTTAAATAAAATTTTCCTCGGATGCGAAGAGAATTTTGATTGAATGAATAAAATTTAATTTAAAATGCAAACGATACAGTCGAGTTTGAAATTATTCGCTCTGTTTTGTAATTAAATTAAGCATTCTGAAAGCGAAAATAATTAATTCCTTTATAACTTATAAAGTCATTTTATGAAAATAATAGTTTTAAAATGCTAATTAAACGTGTCTTTTAGCATTCGTGATTTTTGTTTTTTTTAATGGAAATATGTTAAATTAAATTTTAATATTGTGTAATATATAAATTTAAACACTATATATTCATTTTAATATTTAATTATTAGCTTATTCCGTAGTTTATTTATAAATAGAAATATATATTATATTTTAAATGGGCGTTGATTAGTTAATTTCAAATTATTCGAATTTGAAATTGGCCAATCAGTGTGATATTTGAATTTCTTTTTACTAATTGACCAATATGTAACATTTACTGAATTTTGAAACTGGCCAATAAACGAAATTTGAATAATTTGAAATTAACCAATCAACGGTCTATTTTTTAAAAATTTAAAATTTTAAATATTTATTTATTTCCTATTTGTTATCGAATTCCACAAATGAAATCGATTGGATCGAAATTTCTTTTTTTAAATTTAAAAATTTATGACGTAATTTAAAATCTTTATCCCTATTGGATAAAAGATTTAATTACTATTTTTCTTTAGTAAATTTTCTCGTAATATTCGCGTCGTTAATGTAAAGTACTTTTATGTAAATATAAAGTGAAATATGAAGTTATTAATGCAATTTATCAAAATATGGAAAAATAAATCGATAAAAACACTTATTTTACTCAGTGATAATGTTTTGATAACGGGAGTGAATATGTCAAGTCATTTTATCATTGAAATTCCCATTTACCTCATTTCAGGATGATGTCCCAAGGCAATATCAAGTAACCGTAGGCATATGCCTAGTTAATTAACTGTCGCGTTGCTAATTATGTCACGTGAAACGGCGTATATCATATTTCCTAGTTAAAAACACGCAAAAAAAAACCCATTTAAATATACTTTTGCTTTATCTGTATGAATCACACTGCTAACTCTTCTCCTATTGGTCAATCATAATTTTTCTTGCATTCTTATTGGCTACTGTTTCAAATTTTTAAATTACCGAATTACATCTCCCATTATTAACTCTCCTCCTTATGGGCACTATGGAGAGCAGTTTTCCATGCCCATCGTGGGTTCTTCCAGGAGGGTGATGAAGGATGGGACGTGGGCATATCCGGGACAGACCATCCATGAAAAATTTCTGGGTTATCCTGCGGATCGATTCCGGATCCCCCAGAGCGGTAGTCTGAAAATAATCTATAATTTAAATTCTTTTCGGCATTTTTTATTGATTCTTATCATTATCAAATTAAAATTTTAACGTAGGTTTTATATAAAATTTTCTGAATCGTTATTTTTTATTTAGCATAAATTAATTAAGTAATAAATTAATCGAATATTTTACCGGTATAGCTTAAATTGTTACAAATTTTTAAATTTAAACGAATAAAGAGATATATTGAAAAAAAAAGCAATAAATTGACATTATGATTTAAATTTTTAAATTTAAACCAATAGAAATATTGATTGAAAAAACACAAGTAGTAAGTTTAAATCAAGATTGAAATTTTGAAATTTAAACCAGTAAAGAGATAAGAGGTAAAACGATAACCAATAAACAAGCTTCTTATTTATTTATTTTTTTTTTTTACTTTTTAAAAATTTTCGAATTATCGAGAAATATAGTAGTAGTAGATTGGAAAATGATGTGTTTTCCATTACGATAAATTTATTTATTTTTTCGCGAAAAGATATGATGATATTTATTGAGTGTAAATTTCGACCATATGCTATTGGGAGGTTGAAGATTATTTGTCAAAGAAGGGATTAACAGAGAGAAATATCGATTGAATGAATCAAAAGCAAACAAATCCCGCAAAAGAGTACATAGATTGTTGTCAAAGACACAATGCTCTATAAGTAGACAAGCGAGTAACTCAATAAAACTTGTTTTATCCCAATCCAAGTTGATCTTAAAAGCTCTCGACGAATAATATTTTTCTGATCAATTTTTTAATAAATTATTTTNTTTTAAATATTTGAAATTTAAATTGATTGGGTAAAGTTATTAAATTTTATAAAATCTAACCAATAAATAGCAATTACGTAATTTTAAAACATAATAAACAAATATCGTCAACTACAAGTTATCCAATCAATGATAAAAATTCTTCAAAAATTTGAAATTGATCGGCCAATTTTCGAATGAAATAATTTGATCGTTGGCCAATCAGGTCTTTAATTTTATTTATTTATCATTATTATTTTAAATCTAACCAATAAATGGCAATTACGTAATTTTGAAACTGATCAATGAACGAATACCGATAGTTTCAAATTATCCAATCAACGATAAATATTATAAAAAAACTGTCTATTTTTGAAATTTAATTTGCATTTCTTATTGGTTATCGATCATTTGACGGATTTTTATCGAAAATATTAAAATATTTGCAAAACCGATTAAAAAGTATGACACTTGACCTTATAAATAACCAAGAGAAATGTTTAAAATCACATTAAGGAATTAATGTTTTTCAGTAAGAGCCACATAATGAAATTCTTCTTGTTTGCCTACACGGATAATGTTATTTAAAAGACAAATTCTATTATTGAATTTATCGATCCATTGGGAAATTGAATAAGAAAAGAAATTCCCCAATAAATAAATAAATAAATAAACGAATAAAAGGCAATTTACAATTATTATTATTATTATTATTATTAAATTTTGTTTTTCTGAAGTGGAAGGGATGACTGCGAATGACGTTATCAGATGACAATAGTTAAAGAGAAAAATCGATTCGAGTGCCTTAATCTCATTAAAAATTAACATATAAAATCAAAATTATTGAGAGAAGAAATTACTCCTTTTCTCTTTCTTGGTCAATATGTTGTAGAAAATATGAGACAGCTGTCTTGTTACCATGGTAACATGTGCCAACTAATTACTGTCTACATGACCTTAGGGAGGACAGCGACATTCGACCATTAAGTTGGCACTAAGTCTGCTAAATCATTGTTATAATAAGATTTTAGGAACAATATTTCTGGTGTTGTTTTTATAAAAACAATAATTGGATCGATCTTTCAATTAACAAGAGTTTATTTCTTTGGTAACTATTTTTATCGAATGCTGTAATGTGGATGCATTTAAGTAATTGTAAAGCATTGTTTTTATGCTAAGTGTTAATACACAATAGAAGCGTGCAGGAAATATCTCGTGTATACAGTAAGAGCCGTGTAGCTCACAATTTCTATGCAATTTATGTTTATCTGGACACCTATGAGGCCTTAAGAAAATCTTAGTGTTGCCATCATTTCTCTACCTATTTAATTCTCCCCTTTATTTTCTACATCAATTACTTTTACTTTGGAGTAGAAAGGATTATTTGTGAGTATAAAAACACCATTAAACTCATTATAAAGCTGTAAAAAGTAACAAAAATAAATATAATTCTTAAATACATCCATACATTATATAAAGAGGGATACAGCAACACTGTTTGGGTGGGGCAACAGGCACAAGAGGCGTCCCAAATTCGAAAGGATATGAGGCCAAAAAAGTCTCTATACTTACATATTTTGCGGCTTTCGGAGAAGGCCGTCACATTAGTGAACGAGCAGAGGGTCTATCTCTCTCTCAATTCCCCATTCTAATAAACACAAAATGGCAATTTACTTCACTGAAAACTGCAAAATGAAAGGATTCATCAAGGAAGAATGACAAACATTTACTTATTACAAAGAGTGTAAATTTATATGAGGCCTGAACAAACAGGTTTAAATGTTTATTGAGAAAACAGTAGGGATATACAAAGAATTTAAACTGTTGTAATTGTTTGAGGAAGATCTCAAAAGGCAGAGAGAAAAACAAACAGTAATAATAGAAAAAAAGAAAAAATTAAAGAAAGCCAGATTTAATTTTTTATTACATAAATTTACTTCATCCAAGATCTGTGTTCTTAGTGCATTTTCACCCTTCTAATCCACAATCATTTGTCTTACTTTATACTTCTAATCTTCTCTTGTGGATTAATATCCTTAAAGGTAAATAACACACACACACACACACATTTTTCCTTTCTTACTCCTTTTAATTTAAGGCATTTATTAAATTATACCTTATTATACAAGACTGATTAATGCTAATTATTCTAATTGTAAGCAGTAATTATTATATAATTATTGACAATTAAGCTTTAATTACCTCGGATATATTTATATTAAAAGTTTAATAATTTAAATAAATTTTTTCTCGATTTTTTTCTTTCCTTAGTTTGCATTATTTAATCCCCCCCGCAGGTTTATTATTATTAACACTGTACTTTCCGCATTATTTACCTCGCCGCATACTTTAAATAGAATCAAACCATTAGGGAAATTTAATATTCCCATATTAGCATTCTTAATTTTTATCCTTTTATCATATTAGAAAGTTTATTAGTTCTGCTGTATGCTTAAAATTAATCCTAAAGTAGTTGTCGCAATAAAAATCTTTCTTCCTTCTCTCACAGATTATGCTGTACACATTTTTAAAAATATATATAAAAAAAATACTACTTAAGCATTACTTCAATGGACAGTTTTATTCCGTAGCTAGCATGACGTGCTGCATTTTTAGAAGCTATTAAGTGCGTTGTCACTATAATAGCAAACCGCACGCACGTAGCTAAGCTAAGCGCTTTATTTATATTGATTATCGATAAATAAAGCATTGGGCTTGATACATTATGTATTTTTCTCCGTGTTTTTTATGTATAAAAATGATTAAAATTTTACTATCGCCCGTTATAAAATGTATGTAAATTAGTTTAAAAATTCGAACACCCCCAACAACGGAAACCGCTTTCTCGTGTGAACTCAAAATGTAACCTCCGAACGACGGACAGTTTTTATGTGGCCGTCCTTCGTAGGTTTGGCTGTATTTACGCTTACTCAAAAATCGTATTTTAATTCGTTTGCGAGTTTATTTTTTATATGAAAAATCAATTAAAAATGAAGTAAAGAAAAAAATTACATATATATTATTTTGATATACGGTTTTACTTAGTCATTTATTATATAAAAACGCCTTTAATTATGCCATCAAAGTCAAAACTCGATAATTAAAGAGGATAAGTTAAAAAAAAAAAAAAGTAAATTACCTATCACTTTTTCATTCAACCTAACATAATCTATATGCAGGATAGTTTAAAATATTGGATTTTGTCTGGATCAATATTTCTAATTAACCAAAGTTAAGGTTTGACCTCGTGTCCATTTTGTATACCTTTAAAGGTAATTCCAAATACACCTGCACGAGAGAGGAGATTGAAGAATTTTAAAACATCCTCACCCTTCACTCTAACTAACATCTCATATATTATGTTCATTATTTTCGGCTTTTAATGTTTATATTAACAAATTTTCTGTCTTCTTTCCTTAATAGATAATAAGTAGAGCTATTAATGTCAAGTTAACTGATTTCACGCTTGTCTTTAATCATTAGAAGTGCTTTATTATCCATGTAAAGGGAATAATGTCGAATGAATGCTGCATACTTAAACTAATGTTGGCTTTCTGCACCGTTAGTTTTCAACATCATTCCTTCGTTTTATATTGAAAAATTTACGCAGGAAAGGATTAAGAAAAAAAAAACTATATAATTTAATTTTTAAATTATTTTTTTTCCTTTCTCCTTTTCATTAATAAAATATTCATTTAATTAATAGTTTCGCATTTACCTTGCATTCGTATCATTTATAATTTATAATAATCGTGTATCGTTATCCAACAGAAGATTAATGAAAGATAAATATTCTCCATCGAATAAATTTTTTTCTTTATTAAAATTTTATTAATTTGCTCTTCCTTTTTAATCGCCATGATTTATTTAAACGCCTTTTTTTTCTCCCTCCCTCTTAAATTAAGAAAGCATTCGTACTACTGTACTGCCATCTCTTATCGTGATTATTTAAAAAATATTTTTATTAATTACTTTAATAATTAAATTTAAAAACCAATGACAAATCTAAAATTAAAATACTTCGCAAATTTTAAATTAATTTTACTTATTTTTTGAAATAAATAAACTCGTCGTTTAAAGAGAGAGAGAGGGGGAGGGAGGAAAAAACATTCTCTTACTATCACCATCTACTGGTAAAATAACGCACTACAAAATTAAATTTGAAAAAAAAAGAAGAAATTTACTGAAATGTTCACAAAATTCATCCAACCTACAAAATTTTATTGGTAGCTTTGTTTTCCTTTTTCGGTTTTTATTTTTCTTCCTTTCTTCCACTCTTATATTCTTCCGTCTTAGCTGTATGGCTCCTAGATGCTGGCAATTTCATAAACTTTTATAGTTGCCTTTACATCAGTCGTAAACTACTGCAGATTGAAGTAAGGAAAGTAAAAGTTTGAGACAATCTGAAAGAATGTATATTGTATGGAATTTCATATGCGTTAAAGTAGAAATAACAATATTGTGATATTAATCATGCCGAATCCCATTTTATAAAACTCACTCACCAAAAAAAAAACAAAAAAAAAAAAAATTAATTGTAAAAAGAAATCCTTCTTAAAAAGAATTTTTAACAACAGGTGGCGCGTCGATATTAATTACAATTAAATCTTAATTGATATTAATGATAAAATCGAGCAATTTTAAAAGGAAACAAATAAAACAGCATAATTGATTAAAATTAATACGTTTCAATTTCAAACAGTTTAAATATTAATGTGTATTCCTGCGTGATTAATTGTTTAGATTTTAGTTGACAAATTTAGAAATAGATGGAGGGACTTTAGCTTAAATCATAATTAACATTCTAATTGAATTGAAACGCAATTAAATATTCATTTTTAATTAAGTTAATAGAATAAATTTAATGTAATTCTAAATCACACAACAGACTCATTATTATTATTATATTTAATTTATTAATTTAGAGAAGTTAATATGTTTATTTATAAAGTTTTTCTGTTTTAAAAAAATTCCAAAAATTTAAAATTTAATTTATACAACTCAACAGATGGCAGCACAAAAAATTTTATTTAAAAAAAACTAAATTCTATTTTTTTTATTTTTTATTTTAATAGATAAATTAATGAATAATTTATGAAAATGTATTATATTCAATTGGCTAAATAATAAATATTATAACTATTATAAACGGGAAGTAATTATTTTATTAATGAATATTTGTGCCAATAGATGGCTGCACGGTAGAACGAAACAGGCAAACGACCTTGTTAACCTGTGAAAGTGTTTATGTAATGGTTCTCTTTGTTTATGAAAGCACATGCTGTAAATATATAATTGGTTTAGTCGTCATAATAAAATTGTGTTTAAGAGATAATAAATTTTGATAGCCTAGACACCAAATGAACAATTCGCTTAGTAATTGCCAAACAATAAAAAACAAGAGTACAACCATTTCTCCCTTTACAAAAAAAAATATATATCTGTACAAATAACCGATAAAAACTTTTTCATTGCTGAATATTCTAACTTAATTGCTACGGAAATACAATATTAATTGATTGGACTTTTAAGAAAAATTATTTTATTACCCTATTGCTATTTGTTCTCTAAACGAACACGTGACCGAAAACACCCATAAAATATTTCTTCTTTCGCATTTCCCCACCTTTTTCACTACCAAAAAAAGCAAAATTATCAATTCCTGAATGTTTAAAGACATTAACAACATTTTTTTTTTCGTATATTATTTATAAAATTAAAATAATTAATAGTTCCGTCACGAGGTATATAATCAATTAAATAAAAAAAATATCATTTAAAATTTATTTTATTTATTACCCAACAGATGGAGCCTGTTGTAAAGAAACTGATATTTTTTTTAAAAAATCAATTTCAAAACTGACTTTTTAAAAAAATGTTATTTAAGAAATTTTTACTACCCAACAGATGGCGCTTGTTGTAGGTGGAAAAAATAGGCGGCGCTGATGTAACGAAAAGGACATTTTAATTTTTTAAAATAAAATCGAATTCGAAATTAACTTTTTTTTTTTTAAACGTAATTCACTCAAAATTCTGTTTTGTTTATTACCCAACAGATGGAGCCCGTTCTGGAAGGGGAAAAGAAAAGAAATTTTGCCTTCTTAACGGGTAGAAGTCGGTTATAACGTCTGTAATAGTATAAATCCTGAGGGACTCGTCACTTCAACTACAGCAGACATTTCTCCATAATGAGACAACACGGCGCTTACTCGAATTACTTTAAAGGATAGAATTATCGTTTATCGATTTTTTGATACCCCACTCATGTATAAAATACAAAGAGAAAAGGGAAAGGAAAAAATTAATAATAATAATGTTACACTTGCATTAAAAAAAAACACAATCATTATGGCAGCGTATAAACAGGTAGAAGTTGCGTGATCGCGCGTTTTATTTCCATAAAGACATTAATGGTTGCCATCGGTCGCCTTGTTCGCGTCATAAGACAAATTGCTGGGAGGACGATTCAGCCACCCCTTTGGAGGAACCTCTTTTACGATCGCACCTGTAGATCAGGTAAGCGACCTTTTAATTATTTTATAATCTTTAAAGAACTTGGTGAAGGTCAATTTATTTTATAAATTCGGGTATCGAGATCTTCACGAAATTCTCTATGAAGAACGTGAGCCATTGCTGAAACATTCGGTTAACCTTGTTTTTTTTTTCTTTTCTTTTAAGAGAAATTCACGTATCGATTCGTGTCTTTGCATACCAATCCTATTTTACTGCACAGTAGCCGCGTGAGAAACGATTATAGAGAAGATAGCTACAGTTTTCTTGATATACCCCGCATACTTGCTGAGCGAAAACAATACTATATCATCTATCATTCGTGCCAATTAATGTGGAGGAAAGGGTAAAAAAAAATCTGAAATAAAATAAATGCTGAAACTGTGTTCCACATGAGAAATGTGGGGCTTAAGTAAATTGTAATTTTTGCATTAAATTGGGTTCTGTAAGAGAGATATTTTTATGGGTGCCGATTAATATTCAATGTGCATTATTACTCTTAAAACACTCAAAATTCTTGGCTCGATCTGTTTAATTGGAAGAGAGTTGTGTGCGCTGCTTTAGAGAGGAGGAGACGTAGAAGAAGAAGGGAGGAAAAAAAATACTAAATTCTTAGACCTTTATCTAAAAGAGACAAGTTTGACGGGTTAAAATTTAACCTTAAACGTTAGGCTTCTAGGTTAGAAAGCAAATGACTAGAAACAGGACCAAACGAATTGATAACAGTTAAAAAAAGATTTATGAATGGTTTAAAAAGTACTTGAAGAAGATATTTTACGTGCGTATACATAAATTTACTTCATTAATTGGTGTAAATATGGAGAATAACTCGTGTAAAATGGATCACGTGATCGAAGGATACTCCCATAGAATATATTTAAAACAAATTTTATCCATACGTTAAACTGGTAAATAAATTTGCTTCGTTTGTGATGTAAATTTGGAGGAAAGTCGGATGATATGTGTTACGCGATGAGCAAATACAGTATGAAAAATTCGATGTGTTATACGTATACACACGTAAATTTACTTAAATGACGTAAACGTGGAGAAAACTTAACAGAACGAGTTACGTGATTGAAAGAATAAATTGAAACAATGAGAAATTCAAGAGAATCTGTAAGATTCTGAATGACCCTTACCGTTTACCAATATTTTGGTGAAGTTTGTGAAGGACAGGTGACAAAAAGACCCATCGAATTTTTAACTATTCACACCCCGATGATTGTGGACAATGAGAAGAGACGGGCATACTCTTTTAGAAGTAGACCTTCCTTTTTTTTTTCTTTTTTTTTTAACCTGCCGAGCGGGAGATGATGAGACAAAAGATCACCGATAAGACAGGATGCCCTCTTGCGGTGATGTGTCACAACAGCATCATCTATCTTTTCTCTCTTGTGCAAACTGTTCGTGGCTGGGGGCGACATCTCTTTGCCAAGAACAATTGAAGTGCTTGTCTTTGATTAAATCAAACACATAGGAAATAAGGGTCACGAGTGCAGTCCCGCAGCTCTTAACTTCTCTTCTACCTGTTGTTTTATTATCGTTGCTACAGAGTCTTTTCGATATTCTTTGATGTATCGATTTATATTTTTTTTTTCCAAAAAAATAAAATAAAATAAAATTTATCCTTTCCGATAGACTCACACAGGAAACTGCATTCAAATGATATTCTAACCGCTCCTTTTTGGGAAAGCATTTTCTATTTAACGAACGGCAAAGTAGAAGGAAAAATACTTTTAAGATAAATATTCATGTATAAACCACCGCTATAATTTATGATTAAGAGAAGCCAGGGGGTATTTTTGGTAGACGCACCTTCAAAAGAGGGGAAGAAAATTACTTTTCGTTGATTTTCCGTTTGTAACTGAATGAAAATTAAGTTTGTTAGTAAAATGCGAACCGAAAAGGAGATTTTTAACTTCCAGGCATACGTCTTTCCCTCGTACAATAGTACTTTAAGGTAAGAAGGGCATGCTTAGAAATATAGCTACCGGGTTATGATTGAATATTAATGTTCTGAAGATATTAATACATGAAATTTAATTAAGTAAGCGGGGGTATTTTACCTCTGTCCATAAATAAAATGGAAGGAAAGCAAACAAACCACTCCCTCGACTCTGTTATAGTGTTTGTTTATGAGAAAGATACTGGTGAAAATTTTCGATAAAACACAATCCCCTAATTATAAACAACGATTTAAAAGCTATCTATAATAATTAAAGTAAGGTCTGAGTGATTCAGATGAAAGATTTTTGCCCGTTTCGAGTGCCGCACTCGAGTACAATATCCTTAAAACAACTCGTTGATGGCTTCGATCTTCTAAAACTTACCGAAAGTGGAAAAAAGAAGAGGGCCATCTAGCGAAAAAAGTTAAAAAGACTCGACTATTTAATGCATCTCCATTGTTATCTACTCTTGCATGAAGAGAGAATGGGTTCTGTGAGCTAGAAAATGTCACTTTTCTGTAGAGACAAAACAGAACTCCCTCAAATGGAGCCGTTCTCCGCACAAGATGTCATTCAAATACCAGCAACCCCAATGGAGCTAGACGGGCGTGCGGTTTGCTATTCCTTTGTAGGTGCCGTTGGGCACCCCTCCCACGCACGTGGCATCATAGGATTTTCCCATCGTCACGTTTCGGTAGTGAATGGAATAATTGGTTCACGTTGTAATTCATTGTCCGGATACATGAAGTAAAAAATAAGGAACGAATTTAACGCCAAAAGCATAAAAAAAAAGTAAAGAACTTAAGTGAAAAAGATGAATAGAAAAATATATTTTTCATTATTCAAACTTTTAGACAATCGTTCGGCCATTTTTCTATTTTGATTAATCGATTTTAAATCATATAATCGATGTATAAAACGATAAAACTGGGAACAATTCATCA